GGGCTATGTGCCCGAGCGGAGAACTTGGTTCTCAAGGCGAACCTGAGCAAAGCGGTTGCGGCGTTACGAGCGACACCCCTCGCACTAGCGACAGTCGCCACACTTGAGGCCCTACAGAACAAACACCTGTCGCGATATATATTTATATATGTTTATAACTGCCTGTAGCTTTAGCTTTAGTGTAGTTATGTTTCTTTGTTGTGGTGGTGCACCTCTTTGTTTCTTTGCTATATGTTCTTGCAAACCTATAGTGAAGACACACATTCTCGATTCTCTCTTGGCACAACTCCCTCGACACCCGCTTGGCCTAGGCTACTAAGCCTAGGCCCTTAGTTAAACCCGTTCCTAGCTAAGTTCGTCTCGTGACATGGTAACAGAGTGGTCCGTCCTAGGACCTATTTCGTTTATGGGCCCACCACATTTCGCGACTGCTACAGTTAGTGGCGCGAAATCCGCACCTTGCGTATCTTTTTTTTTTCCCTGCTGCTCGCGCTGCCCCCCGTCGCCTGCCTCGTCGCGGCTCTCAGCGCGACGGGCGCGGCGGACGCTATGGCGAACGCCAGCGGACCCGCCGCCAGCGACCCGCCAGCGAAGTCGCCAGCGAAGTCGCCAGCGGCCCGCGATCGCGTTTGCGCCATCGACTGCAGCCAGCGCCACCTTGCACCTCGCCCGTCGCACCGGCGGTCGCTGTGGGGGGGAGAGGGAAGAAGGGATGGGAGTGGCGGCGGAACTCTGTGGGGGCGAGAGGGAAGAGGGGATAGGAGTGACGGGGGAACGCCAGCGACGATCGCCAGAGCACTGGCGATCGCCCCAGCCGCTCATTCGCCCGCTCTGCCCGTCGCATTCCCCCCGCCCCCTGCCCGTCACCCCCCCCCCCCCCCCCGTCGCGACTGTTTGCGTGTGCAGCGGCGGTCGCCATGGGGAGGAGAGGGAGGAGGGGAAGGGAGTGGCGGTGGGACGCTGTGGAAAGGAGAGAGAGGAGGGGAAGGGAGTGGTGGCGGAACAGCACCAGCGCCAGCCGCCAGCACCAGGAACCAGCACCAGCGCCAGCCGCCAGCACCAGGAACCAGCCCCAGCGCCAGCTGCCAGCACCAGGAACCAGCACCAGCGCCAGCCGCCAGCACCAGCACCAGCAACCCCACCTATGACCAGCAGCCCCACCTGTGACCAGCAGCCCCACCTATGACCAGCAGCCCCACCTGTGACCAGCAGCCCCACCTGTGACCAGCAGCCCCACCTGTGACCAGTAGCCCTACCTGTGACCAGCAGCCCCACCTGTGACCAGCAGCCCCACTTGTGACCAGCAGCCCCACCTGTGACCAGCAGCCCCACCTGTGACCAGCAGCCCCACCTGTGACCAGCAGCCCCACCTGTGCCCAGCAGCCCACCTGTGAAAGACTGTACAGGGACCATCGTGGGTTGGGAGAGGTATGGAGGAAGACAGGGGTGGAGGGAGTGCGGTTCCAGGGGGCGACTGAAATGGGGGGTGAGGTTGAGGGCGGGTGGTTGGTTGGGGGTGGGGATGTGGGGGTTAGTAAGAGGGGACGCTGCGGCCACCCCCCCACCTCTTCTCCTCATCCCCCACTCAACCCCCCCTTTCGTAAAAGGGGGTTAGTAAGAGGGGACGCTGCGGCCACCCCCCACCTCCTCTCCTCATCCCCCACTCACCTCCTCCTGTGTTCTTATCTATTCTCCTCTCCTCTCTTCCTCTTGCCTCCTCCTCCTCACGTACCCCTCTGCCGTCTCCCACCGCACCTGCCCCTTCAGGGGGTGTGACTTGCTCTAGCTATGTGCTGCAGGCAGTTAAGGGGGTGTGTCGCGATATATATTTATATATGTTTATAACTGCCTGTAGCTTTAGCTTTAGTGTAGTTATGTTTCTTTGTTGTGGTGGTGCACCTCTTTGTTTCTTTGCTATATGTTCTTGCAAACCTATAGTGAAGACACACATTCTCGATTCTCTCTTGGCACAACTCCCTCGACACCCGCTTGGCCTAGGCTACTAAGCCTAGGCCCTTAGTTAAACCCGTTCCTAGCTAAGTTCGTCTCGTGACAACACCCCCAGGCGACGGAGGCGTTACCCGAATGGGTAACGAGTGTGACCTCGTCCAACCTGGCGATCTCAACCGACACACTTCGCGAAGTGCTGATTCGATGCCCTAACGGGGTTGGAGCTGGACCTTCAGGGATGTGTTTCGAACACCTACGTGAACCTGCGCTAGCTAGTGAGGAAGTACTGGGTCTTCTGCTCAAGGTCGTCAATCACCTCCTTAGCTCGACAGTAGCAGCGGGAGTACGGGAGGTGCTGCTACCGTCACGACTCATTGCCTTATCCAAGCCCGACGGCGGTGTTCGACCGATCGCAATAGGCGAAACGATCCTACGCATAGCGGGAAAAGCGGACTTACGAGCACAGATCCGCAGCATTCTTCATCCCGCCAGATCCGCGAGATCCGCGAGTTCTTCATCCCGGTGCAATTCGGAGTGGCAGTTCAGGGGGGAGCGGAGTTCATTATCCACTCCGTCCGCGCCCTACGACAGCTGCAGCCAGCATCAACGATCCTACACCTCGATATAGAAAATGCGTTCAACTCCGTGAATCGAGCGAGCTTCTGTGACGCACTGAGATGGTCCAGCATGCTCGAGCTGCTCCCGTTCGTATTGACGATGTACGGGACGCCCTCAGCATTGCTTCTAGACGCCAGCCTGGGAGGCCATTCCCTAACGAGCAGTCGCGGCATCCGTCAAGGAGACCCGCTGGGGCCGTTGTTGTTCGCAGCAGCAATCCAGCCGTCCCTGGCACGCACGACGTCTTCACACCCCGAAGTAACACTGCTGGCCTACGCCGACGACATCACACTGATCGGCCCCCAGGAAGCATCGGCTCGGGCCTTCAACTTCCTCATAGCAGACCTGGAGCGGTGTGGGCTTCGTTGCAACGTGGCGAAGTCTTGCTGCTGGAACGCGGACCCGCGGTCAGACACCCTGTTCCCGCCTAATCTGCCGCTGGTCCGCACGGGAGTGAAGATCCTGGGGAGCCCGGTGGGAACCACAGAGTTCTCCGCGGACTTCTTGCAGCGACAGCTCAAAGAGGCCGCGGAACCACTACCACTCCTATCCCAGCTCAACCCCCAGCACTCCCTGCTGCTGATAAGTCGCTGCATATCGAGGCGCGTGTCCTACCTCCTACGCACGACTCCAGCGAGCTCAGTCAGCCTAGCGACATGGCGGGAATGGAGCGAGGGGCTCCTGCGCACGGCCCTCTCAGCAGCAGCAATCAGGTGGCCGAGCCACGAACTGCACCAGAGCCTGCTGTGGCGGCAGGCCACACTACCTGTCAGCCTAGGGGGACTGTGGATCATAGACCCCATATCAGAAGCACCGGCGGCCTTCTTAGCATCAACTGCAGCGGCGACTGAACTACTGGCTTCGTTACCCCTCGAGCCAACCCACCCGCTGGCGGCAGTAAGGGCGGCCCTATCGCCAGAAGCTGACGTAACCTCGGCACTGGGAGAAACGTTACGGGATATGGAGGGGAGGCTGCCGGAGGAAGGAAAGCAACTGCTGAGAGACCGGCGCGCCAACCCTCGCCCCGGCCACATGCAGCTGGCCCTCTCACGCGCCATCAACAAGGCTAGGGTGCTGAACCTCTTGGATGACACCCTCATAGACCGCCCAGGGACTGACAACGGCCACGGCGTCAGGCTGGTAAGCCTGAGGGGAACCGGAGCAGGGGACTGGCTGAATGCCACACCAACAAGGCCAGACCTCACCCTATCGGCAGGACAGTTTGGCACGGCGCTGGCCTTCCGCCTAGGGCTGCCCCAGGCGGTAGCAGCAAAGTGTCCATGCGGCGGGGACCGGTCAGACATAACAGACCCGAGCCTGCCTAACCACCTGCTACGCTGTGGGACCGGGGGGGATAGGACACGGACCCACAACGCACTGGTCTACTGCTGCATCCGCATGGCTCGAGAGGCAGGCTACACCACGTCGGGGGAGACGACAGCATTCTCAGTCCCCTCCAACGTGATCAAGGCAGACCTCTCCCTGCGGGATCAGGACTCGGGGGGCACCTGGATAGGCGATGTCACCCTCACCGACCCTGTACTGCTCCGCCGAGACCTCACAGTGTGGAAGAAGCCAGGTTGGGCAGCTAGGGAAGCGGCAAGGACCAAGGAACTCCTGTACGAGGAGCGGCCACTGGGTAGGCTTCTACGGCCTTGCCGCTGAGACGTATGGGGCACTGGCCCCACAGACGGCAGAGTTCCTACAGATGCTGGCGACACATGCGGCAAAGGCAAAATTCAGGGCTGCCAAACCAACCAAAACTGCAGCCAAACTCTACTGCCACTACCGCCAGCGCTGGTCGGTCATGCAGCAGCGTTGCCAAGCAACAACCCTGCTGGCCAAGTCCAACCAGGCCGCCGAGGAAGCCTACCCACAGTCCATGGCTGACCCCTGGGCCCCGCGCCTAGGGGACCTGGCTCAGACCCTCGAGGATGAGCTGGATGGGGCGGAGGACTTGGGGACGTAGAAGGCCGGGGAGGAAGGAGAGGATGAGCTATGGGCAGGAGGTGACTGGGTGGGGTCATAGCAGGCGGGCCAGGCATGGGGCCAGGGATGGGTCAAGGGTAGCAGGCTGGAATAGGTGCCAGAATGTTTACAGGGTCGGCTAGAAGGCAGAATCGCTTGCTTGCCTGCTTGTTTTCCCGCGTGTTTGCTTGACTGCCGGTATGTTTGCTGGTCTGCTCGTCTGCCTGCCTACTCATTGGCAGGTTTGTTCCCTTGTCTCCTTACCTGGCGGCCTGCTTGTTGGTTGTCTATCTGCTTGGTGACTACCTCGGCTGTCCACGACTGGGCTGTCTCTGCAGGGCTATCAGTATGGGAGTTGGTATTAGACTGCTTGCATGCCTAGGACTATCTAGCACCTACCCCTACCATGCATGTATCCTTATAAACCCATCAATGAAGGACTGCTTGACAGGAGGAAGCGGCAGCTACATGCGGTCGGCTTCCAGAGCGGCAAGAATCTCAGTCAGGGACCGCCACAGCTCGCGTACCACCAACGAGCTTGCGCCGATCGCATCGGCTGCAGATCCTGCGCGCAAATAACGGCGCAGGCCACGAACCGCAGCCTCAAGAGGCCCCACAGCCGCGAAGCCCCCCAGCACGGGCGCTGCCAACACGGGCGCCAGGATTAGGCCGAGCTGGTCGGCAGCCTCAAGACAATCAGTCCGCTGCCCGTCAAGGAGAACTCCTCGGGGAGGCCGGGACAGCGAGGCGTGCGCCTGAACCTGGATCAGCAGAAGTGCACGAAGGCTCTCAGAGAGCCGCCACATCTGGCCAAGCGTCGCCTCAGGAACGCGCACCTGCGGGGGGAGGACCTCTTCTGCCAGGGCAGGAAAATGTGCAGCAACGGCGGAAGGAGCAGGCTCGTACAGAGGAGGGGCAGACACCATCCCTCCAGCAGCAGACACGAACTCCATGCCCGCCACAGGAGGCACCCAGGGCAGTCGTAGGCGGGCCCCGGCTGCAGACGACGACACAGCAGGTGCGGGAGGAGGAGCCACAGGTCCAACATGCTGTGAGCTACTCTGGCTTGCCACCCCGGCCCTCTCCTCGCGCAATGCAGCAGACACCACCCGCTGCACATCGGCTAGCGTTAGCGAGGGCTCTGACTCCCCCCAGCAGGCGCGACCGCGACCTCCCCTCCAGCCACCGCGACCACCACGATGAGCAGGCCAACCAGCCGGGGATTGGCGATGCCGGGGGGAATCGTGACGGCGCCTCGACGTCTCGCGCTCGTCACGCGGTCTGGGGGAGTGGGGCCGATGTTGGCGGCGGCCAGGAGACGGATGACACGGCCGCTGCAAGGGAGCAGGATACGACGCATGCGCAGACGGAGCAACAGCAGCAACCGCCCGTCCCGGGGCGGCGCTGGTGGCTAGAGGCGGATGGTAAGACGGGTCAGAAACAACAGCAGAAAGCGCCCCGGCGGGCACAGCCTGCGGTGGTACGGGGGACGCGCCAGCAGGCACAGACGAGGCCACAGCAGCAGGCACAGGTACTGGCGACACCCCAGGGGCAAGGGGAAGAGACTGTGCAGAGGCAGGAGGATGCATAGGAGCAGACACCACAGCAAGCGCAGGAGCTTGCGCATGAGCGGACGCCACCGCCGGGGCAGAATGAGGCGCAGGAGCGGACGCCACAACGGGCGCAGGAGCAGGCGCCGGAGCCGGCGCAGGAGCAGGCGCAGGAGCAGGCGCAGGAGCGGGCCCCACGGCGTGTAGAGGAGCAGACGTCGCGGCTGACACGGGCGTCGTCTCGACAACAAGGCCAAGCGACGCAAGAGGTGCCGGGGCAAACGGCGCAGGAGACGCTGGCGACGGCGCAGAGCCAGGAGCGAGAGGCGACGACATCTCCACTACAGCCGGCGCCGGGACCGCTTCCGGGACAACCACAGCGGACACCGCGACAAAGGGCCGTGGCGAGTAGTGAAGCTCGTCGCCTAACGCCACAGGCATCGCGGGGAGGACGAGGCGGCGGGCGCGGAGGTCTGTCAGGAAGGGGAGGAGGACCCGAGAATGGCTTCCAGAGAGAGGCGAGGCGGGCTTTAATACGAAACGAAGAACACAATGAAGACGAAGTAAGAGACCCTACGTTTATAGCAAACGGGGAGGAGGAGGAATCTACTACGGAGGATTCGAGGGAGTTGGAGGAAGAGGCTCTGGAAGAGAGACGCCGCGAGATTCGAACACCACGCCAAGCAGCTCCAGTCCCAGCTGCAATTGGTGGGGAGCAAATTGGCCTGGCACCTGACACCTCCACACAAACACCACAGCCCCGCCAATTTTCGCCAGAACAACTCGCTGAGGACATTGAGCGGTTCGACGAAGTGGAAAAGTGGGACTTGTCTCCCCTACGCGACAGTCGTCAGCCCCCCCTCTCGCGTAAGCTCCCAACTGACATTCGCCCGCTTTTCGCCTCGGTCCTCCTGACACCACTACTCCACCTCGCGCGAAACCCAGGGTCAGTCGCGGGCTGGCGCCTGTTACTCTTCGTCCCTCGACTCACCCTTCGCCTGCCATCAACGGAGAAACCTGATTGGCCGGCTGTCAAATCTCGACTCCGCCAATTCCTAATGGGCAAATGGCAGCAGCTATACGATTCTGCAGTAGCCGCAATCACTGGACCACACCCGCCACGTCACAACCCTGACGCTTTGGGCAAGCGCTCCAGAGCCGAGGGCCTCGCACGCAAAGGAAGTCTCCGCAGGGCGACTCTCGCACTTGAGTCAACGCCAGTCGCTGACCCTTCTGCAGCCACTCTCGCTGCCCTCAAAGCAAAACACCCACCCGCACCACCAGGCATCATCGATTGGAACATCCCCAATACTGTACCAGCGGCCTCGATCGACAGGGGGGACTTCGTAAAAATGTTATGTTGCTGTGAGAACGGAGTGGGAGGGGGACCATCTGGTATGACATTTGAGCACCTAAGGGATGGGTCGCTCGCCAACGCAGGGGTTACCACACACCTACACGCCCTCGTCAATACCATCCTACGAGGCAAACTGCCTGACGAGATCTGCACACTACTGACCGCTAGCCGCCTCATAGCCCTAGCAAAACCTGACGGTGGCACTCGACCGATAGCTGTGGGCGAGTGCATCCTACGGCTCGCCGCTAAGGCCGCCCTTTCAGCTCTCTCCCAAGAATGCCGAACACATTTTCTCCCGCTACAATACTGCGTGTCGGTTCAAGGCGGCTGAGGCGATCATTCATGCCGCAAGAGCCTTCACCAGCGCGAATCCCGATGCGCTGATACTACAGGCAGACCTAGCAAACGCATTCAACTCGATTAGCCGCACAGCAGTAGTCAGCGCACTTCGCGACTCAGCACTCAAGAGTATCCTTCCTCTAGTCAAAGTATCGTACGGCAGGCCAGCCCAGTTATTCCTGGACGCGGGGTTCGGATGCGAGGCACTGACCAGCGAGACGGGCGTGCGACAAGGAGACCCGCTCGGACCGCTGCTCTTTGCTGCCGGGATCCACCCCGCCCTCAGCAAGACAGCAGCAGCCTACCCATCCGTACTGTGCCTAGCATTTGCTGACGACGTCACATTCCTGGGCGCTGCCTCCGAGTGTTCAGAAGCTTTCCGCCACTTCACGGCGGGACTACGCGACGTTGGGATGACCCACAACCCAGGGAAATGCGCCGCATGGAGCGCAGCAGCCACAGACCACCAGCTGCTGCCCGAAGGTGTACCGCTGAGCACGGATGGGCTGCGAGTGCTGGGTAGCTTCATCGGCTCGGCAGAAGGTGCTGCGGCCTTTCTACGCTCTCAGCTTGAATCTATGTCATCTCCGCTACCCCACCTCGCAACCATGGACCCCCAAGTAGCGTCGCTGTTACTAACACGGTGCATCTCTAGACGTATATCTTACCTAGCACGTACCATGCCCCTGTACCTGTTACCTGAAGATGAGTGGTCACGGTGGGGCAGGGCCCTGCTATACACCCTTCTAGACGCTTGCGGAGTGCGTCACCCAAGGGGCGAGACGGAGGAAAGGCGGATCTGGGACCAAGCATCACTCCCACCGAGCCTAGGTGGCCTAGGCATCGCCGACCCAGCAGTAGAAGGCCGATACAGTTTCTTGGCGAGTTTCGTACAGGCTCACTCACTTCTCGGCCCACTAGAGGGCCAAGCAGGGTCCAATCTGTCAGCAGCACTGGACAGCACCGAAGCAGCCGCCCACAGTCCCAATGAATTACAGAGGTGGATCCAGGAGTGCAGAGACAGCCTCACACAGGAGGGGAGGGATCTAATCTCGGTGGAGCAGGCGAAACCCAAGGGCCAACTACAGCACCGTCTCGCTCTCCTAGTCCAAGGGGGTCGGAGTGCCGCCCAGATCACCGCATCCAGGCAGATGGAGCTGAATACCCTGTTGGGCCACACCCAACGCCTCATGTCCCTCACAGGCTATGGGGCGGGGGACTGGCTCATGGCAATCCCCTACATGCCAGCCCTTCACGTTCGCCTTACAGTTCCGGCTCGGCCTGCCGCTCTCTGTGCCCGACTGCTGTGACTGCAGCAAACGAGTCCCCATTCTGGATAAGAGGCTACCGAATCACTTGCTCCGGTGCGGTACTGGGCACGGCCGGACCAACACTCACAACGAGCTGCGTGACGAGTGCATCCGCATGGCGCAGGATGCGGGACTTGCTGTGCACAAGGATTGCACTGCCTTCAGCCCGGTGGACAACAAGAAGGCCGACTTGGCCTTTAGGGACGGGAGCTCAGGGGCGGTGTGGCTGGCAGATATCACAATCACAGATCCCATCAGCAAACGGGACGAGACTGCATGGAAGGGGAGGGGCTGGGCAGCACGGGAGGCAGCAGACAAAACGATTGGCCTCTACCTCGGCAGGGCAGAGTTTGCTGGGTTTGTTCCCTTGGCAGTAGAAACCTACGGCTGCCCCTGCGACGAGGTGCCCACCTTCCTGAAGCTACTGCACGGAAAATAGTGGGGTACTCTATAGTGAGTACAGCCCAACTGCAGCAAGCTTATAAGCGGTACAAGCTCCTATATAGCCTCCTCTTTTGCTTCATTCCACTCATTATTCTCTGGTGAGTGTGGTTCCTCCCAACCCAGCGGCTCGCGTCGGCCGCCTTCGGCGACCGACGCTCGACAGCGCTGCCTTCGGCCGCGCGTTAGGGGTGGCAAGTACAAGAGGAGAAGGAAGAAGTTACATGGGGAGCAGTACAGGCATGCAAGCATAACGCAGACAGGGCTACACTAAGGTAAGTCACAAACAATGGGGAAGACGAAGCCAGTAACCAAGGCAGGAGGGAAGGGGCCGCCTACATCCGCTCCACCCGCCGCCCCAGCCACCGGAGCATATTCGCGAGCGCAGGGACGATCCCAATCGGCGACTCCTCAGCAGCCGTGGCTACCATGCGGAAAGCCGCAGCACCAGGTCCGTCATCCAGCAAGGGGTCCTCCGGCTCAAGCGGCAAGTGAAGAACGTCCCACAGCGCACTCGCCACTGCACGGCGCGTCCGCCCTTGCTGGTCCTCGCTCAGCTGCGGATTTCGGGCCACAACCTCCCGCGACTGAAGGGCAACATGGAGAAGGTCAAGCACGGAGGCTAACTCCGTCACGCAGCGGCCAACCTCCGACAACCGCATCCCACGGGCTTGGTAAGCCCCATCTCCAGGCCGAGGCTCCCCCCAGGGAGGGCTCGGGGGAGGAGTTTTCCAGTTCCAGTTCCCTTCGCGCGGCACATGGGGCCACGATCCACATCTGGGTCGCGAGGAGTGCCCGGCACCTCGTCGTCGTTCCAGTAGCCGCGTGCGAGGCCAGGCACCGGCTGATGCTGTGGGAAAAGTGGGAGGGCGGGACGGGGAGGGGCAGGGAGACAGCAATACCCGGAAGGTGAGCAGCAGAAAGGGAAAAACGTCGCACGGCAAGCAAGGAGGGGACGGCAAGGGGGGCTACTCACAAATCCAAACCGGGCTGCAGGGAGACGAGACCCTGGCACAAGGGGGTGCTGGCGACGAGGCATGCAAGGAGGGGGAACAGGAGGAGGGAGACCGTGAGGAGCGGGTGGAGCCGACACAGTTACATCCGCCCGGGGTGGATAAGAATACGCGAGCGGAACAACGGGAGGTGGCACCGGGCGGCACAGGAGGCGGAGGTGGTGCCGCAACCGACGGCGGCGGCCGCGAGGGAGGAATCGGTGGCGCAAACTGCGCCGGCGCCGACTGCGGTAGCTGTTGGGACGACGCAGACTCGGACTGGGGCGGAGGAAGCTGCAACGGCTGGGACTGGAGGGCACTAAAGGCAGCATAGATGAACGCACCGGCTAGTGAACTGGAGCAGAGCCTGGTTTGGCGCCAAGCTACGCTACCCGTCTGCCTAGGAGGACTGGGGTTGATAGACCCACTCTCGGAGGCACCAGCGACATACCTAGCCTCCCTGCATGCGGCGAACACACTACTACGGCAAACGGTGATGTCGCCAGACAACCCCCTGCAGCAGGCGGCGGGCCTACTCTCTCCCATGAGGGAGGAGGGAGAGAGGGCGGGAGTTGGGGAGGCACTCCAAGACCTTAGGAACCGGCTCCCAGAGCAGGCCCGAGAGGTCCTGAAGTCGCACCACCAGAAGGGGGATGGGAAAGGGCACCTGCAGCTAATCCTGTCAAGGCGTATCAACTTAGATAGGGCGGGCGGAGCTGGTAGGAGACACAAGGGAGGATAAGCCGGGGACGGACAACGGATATGTCATCCGCCTCATAGCATTGCAAGGGGGGCTGGAGATTGGCTTCACGCGATCCCCACAAGAGGCGACCTCACCTTCTCGCCCGGACAGTTTGCAGTGGTGCTCGGCTTCCGCCTTGGACTGCCCCTGGCGGTCACAGAGAAGTGCCCCTGCAAAGCGATACGGTCGGCCTTACGGGACAGGAGCCTCCCAAACCACCTGCTGCGGTGTGCCGATGGGGGGGGACCGCACGAACACCCACAACTCACTGGTGTATGCGGCTCTGTGGATGGCGAGGGAAGCGGGCTACACTACCTTGCACGAGACAGCGGTCTTCTCGCCTATAACCAACCAAAAGCGAGCAGACCTTGTCATCCGTGACAAGGAGTCCAACGAGACCTACGTCACTGACGTGACAGTGACGGACCCAGTCCTGCAGAGGCGAGACAAGCGGGCGGTAAAGCCACCGGGGTGGGCGGCAGAGGATGCGGCAAGGGGCTTTGTGGGGGTGTTCGGGCTGGCGGTGGAAACATATGGGGCCTTGGCCAAGGATACCCAGCGGTTCCTCCGCCTACTGGGTACCCAGGCGGCAAAGACAAAGCACCGACAGGGGCGGCTGACGACTGTGGCCTCCAAAAGCACGGCGCATTACCGACAGCGGTGGTCGGTAATGCTCCAGCGCTGCCAAGCAAATGCCCTGATGGCCAAATCCAACAGGGCAATTGAGGCGGCGTTCCCACAGGCGGCGGCTGACCCGTGGGAACCAAGCCTCGGGGACCTGTGGCAGGTCCTCGAGGATGACCTGGCCCAGGTACTCGACCCGGAGGGGTAGAGGGCCAGGTCAACCCCTGGGAGCCCGCCCAACCGCAGGAGGCTCTCCTCGGCTGGGCAGGACAGGAGGGGAATGGGGTGCCGTGGAGGAGGGTGAGCAGGCCAGCAGTGCTGTAGCCGTAAGGACAGGTGTGGTGACTATGCAGCTTAGTATGGCAGGCCGGCCCATCACATGCCATGTATGTGATTATGTTCTTTATTAACTTGCATGCCTATGCCAACATGCTTGCTAGGATTGCCCTTGCCTTGCCTGTACCTTATGCACACATCAATGAAGGACTGCTTGAGAGAGAGATGGCTTGGGACTAGTCCTTAGCCGTTTTTAGCCTCTCTAGCCTGGTCCTCAGTCCTTAGCCGTTCTCAGCAGTGTTTCCCTAGTATAAAGTCTCTAGTTCCTTGCCCAAGGGGCTCATTCTTCACTGGTGAGTTCAGATCACTCTCCAAAAGTGGTGGCTCGCGCCGGCCGCCGATGGCGGCCGCCGCTCGCTTGCGCGGCCTACGGCCGCGTGTGAGGTGTGGCAAGGACGGAGAGAAACAAGGTTTATAAGATGAAGCATTACACAATGCAAGGGTAGACAACAACACCCGCTACAACACCCCCAGGCGTGTGGTAACCGCCATGGGGAAGCCCAAGGCCAGGCAGGGAATCAAGCAGGCGGGCCAAGGGAAAAGAGCCGCTACTCGGCAAGGATCCAACACAACCGGCCGTCCATCCAGAGCAGCACGGATGCGGCAGCTGGCACGATGTCCCGCGGGGCCTGCAGGGCGGCAAGGGCAAGCCGCCTCAACGAAGCAGGGCCAGGCCCTAAGGCGGAGCCAGGGGAGCCCGGTACCAGTCCGATTGCGGGCAACATCCGCAGCATCTCCATTGCCGCCGCCACGGCTTCCTCCTGCTCCTACTGCGACATTGCCGGAAAGCATCCTTCAGGACGAGCCTGCCGTGACTGACAAGCGTGCAATTGGTCAAGGACCATTGCCAACAGGGTCAGGCACGTCCCCACGTGCCCAACGCGCTGCTCTACGCGAAGAGCTCGTCCGACAGGGGGAGAGTCCTCCCACAGACTCCAACGGTGCTGCGGGGCCTGAGTACGCCTGCTGCTGCCACGGGCGCAGACACGCAGGGGCGCGACCAGGTGGCGGGCGATACATCGGGTCGTGGGAACGGCGCTGCTGTGCACGCCGCTCGCGGGAGGGGCGGGAGGAAGTTTCGCGCCCAGCCAGCGCCGAGGCGGCCCGGAGCAGGGCTGGTACCTGGCCCCTCGGGGCCCCTCCTGGGCTGGCTTCTGCAAGGGCAGACGCCACAATCGCAAGGGCGTCAACCGCCATCTGTGGGGCCAGGCAGTGGGGAAAACGAAGGGGAGATCGGCGTCAGGCAAGCGCGACCTTCAAGCAACAGGGCGGTAAACATTGCGCCGAAAGCTGTGACCCCGCAAGTGCCCTAGCGGGAAACGCGGAGCTCCACACGCGCACAAGGCATTACCTGGGGCCAGCCGAGGGGAAGCCTGACTAGACAGACACAATCACCGTGGATCCCGGCGGGGAGAGCGCCACAAGCTGGGCGGGGAGGGCGGATCAACAAGAACCAGGCCAGAGGAGGCGAGATGGCTCGCGGGGCCCGAGGCGGAGGACGTGGGGGAAGAGGCGGAAGACGGGGCGGAGGCGCAATCGTCGGGGGAAGAGAGGAGCTTGTGAGATCGGGAACGTGGCGGGAACGCCACGAACGCCCAGAACAAGATGTGCCACCGACGAATCAGGAGGCGGGGGAATCTGACAACAACGATGACGAGGAGGATTATGTAGCTGAAGCATCACAAGCCTCAAAAGAGATCTCGCTGGAGGAAGAGGGAGGCACGACAAGAAGTGATAGGGGACGCAGTGCGGGTGGGAGAAACCCTCAGGAGAGAAACCACCACGAGATAAACCCCCAGGAGGGAGGAGAGACTGGAGTAGCAGCGGGCAGAGAGAATCAGGAGGGCCAAAGGTACAGTCGCCGGCCGACCTGGCAGCAGACGATGCCATCTGGCAACAGGCAGCCACGTGGGAAGTTGCACCACTCCAGCGGGGGGACCAACCTTTCTTGGTTCGGAGAATGCCCCCCAAAATCTTGGAGAGTTACACCCTCTGTATCCTGGCACCACTCCTGCGCCTTGCAAAACATCCCGATTGCCCGGGGGCATGGGCGATCCTGCAATTCCTCCTGAGGCTGACCCTACGACCCCTTTCCGAACCAGTAGAAGGAAGCCGATGGACACGGGTCGAGGGAAGGCTGCACCAGTTCCAGCAAGGCAGATGGGGGGAACTCTTCGAAGAGGCAAATGTCATCCCCGACATGGAGAACCCGACACGACACCAAGCTGATGATGCTGGACTTTGTGCTAGAGCAGAGGGTTTGATGAAGAAGGGTAACATTTCGAAGGCAGTTGCAGCGTTATGGACAACCCCACTCGCGTAAGCCACACCAGAGATGCTCCTGCACTGCAGGCGAAACACCCTGATGCTGCTTCGCCCACCTCGACTTGCGTTACCGGCTACACCCACTCGGCGTTGAGATTAACCCCCGACGACCTCCGCGAAATACTTAAGCGATGCCCGAACGGAGTGGGAGCAGGGCCTTCGGGCACCTGTTTCGAACACCTCAAAGACCCTGCGCTCGCGAGTGAAGAAGTGCTCATACTCCTCGCATAAACAGGCAGCTACCTCCTTAGCACCTTCCAAACCCAAGTCGTCCGCGATTTGCTCCTTCGCTCGAGGCTCATCGCTCTGGAAAAGCTGGGAGGTGGCGTTCGTCCCATCGCAATAGGAGAGGCACTACTTCGCATCGTGGCAAAAGCAGCCCTGAAGGAATTAGCGCAAAACATTCGCGAGTTCTTCCTCCCCGTACAGTTTGGCGTGGCGGTCACTGGCGGCGCGAAGTGCATCGTACACTCAGTCCGTTCGCTGCTTAAAGAGGACGAGACTCGCGTCGCGCTACAGCTCGACATCGAGAACGCCTTCAATAGTGTTGAACGACTGGCGTTTTTTCAGGCGCTCTCGCAATCGAGTTTGTTATCACTTCTGCCCCTCGTACGCACGCTATATGACGGTCCGTCCCGCCTTCTAGTGGACCACAAGCTTGGCGTCGACCAGATCATGAGCAACCGAGGAGTCCGTCAGGGAGATCCGCTGGGCCCGCTCCTTTTTGCAGCGGCGATCCATCCAACACTACTGAGCACGGCAACATTCCACCCCGAGGTGGCGATCGTTGCCTACGCCGACGACATCACCATCGTGGGACCCCAGGATGCTGCGTATGAGGCTTTTAGCAACATCACAAGAGAGCTAACATCGCTCGGGCTCCGCTGCAACATTGCCAAGTCCACAGGGTGGGGACAGAGTTCGGAGGGGGGAAACGAGATACCACCACCGCAGGGCCTGCCAATAAACACCAATGGCATTGGAGTTTTGGGGAGCCCGATCGGCACATCTGCTTTCTGCACCGATCAGGCACAGACACGACTCACGGAGGCGTCCGCTCTGCTACCAATGATAGCTCAGCTACACCCCCAGCACGCCATGCTAATGCTCTCGCGGAGCATCTCACGCAGGATATCCTACCTGCTGCGGACAACACCGGCGGCGGTGCTAGAGAGAGAGGAGTGGAGGTCGTGGAGCGAATCTCTGTTGGGAGCGGCACTAGCAGCGGAGAAACTACGAGTCCCAGCGAGTGAGCTGGAACAGAGTTTGCTTTGGCGGCAAGGCACTCTACCGGTTCGGCTAGGGGGGTTAGGCATCATTGACCCTACCGCGGAGGCACGAGCAGCCTACATCGCGTCAGTCACAGCAGCCCAACACCTACTACGGCAGATGAACCTGCCGGAGGCGTACCTGCTGAGCAGGGCGGTCACGCTACTGGACCACGCATGGAGTCCTGCCCCACCTGGGGTCAACCAGTTAGTCCCACTGGAAGCAGCTCTGCCGGCACCCGCGAGAACCGCATTACAGATGTTCAGGGAGAGGCCGACAGGACAGGGTAACCTACAGCTAGTGCTGTCCCGCCACATCAACGAGAGACGAGCTGCGGAGCTGCTGGCAGACACGATCACAGACCGCCCTGGCACACACCGCGGGCATGCGATATGCCTCATCAGCCTGCAAGGGGTGGGGGCGGGGGATTTGCTACATGCCGTGCCTTTGAGAGCTGACCTTACATTTGCCCCTGGTCAGTTCTCCTTGGCACTGGGCTTCCGCATGGGCATGTCCTTGCCGGTCACTGTGAAGTGCCCTTGCAAGCGAGAGTATTCAGACATCACTGACACAAGTCTGCCGAACCATCTCCTTAGGTGCGGGTATGGGGGTGATGTGGTCAGAACGCACAACTCACTGGTGTATGCGGCCCTCAGGATGGCAAGGGAAGCAGACTTCACGTGCTACCACGAGACATCAGCCTTCTTCCCACCGATAATCAGGAAAAGAGGGGATCTGGCCATTAGAGACAAGGAGTCAAACGAGACCTGGGTGACGGACGTGACGGTGACTGACCCCGTGCTTCAGCAACGCGATACAAGGGCACGGAAACCGCCAGGATGGGCGGCTGAGGAGGCATCTGCGAGGAAGCACAGACTTTATGAGGGACGACCGGACTATGTAGGCTTCTTTGGGCTGGCGGTTGAGACGTATGGGGCTCTGTCCACCGACACACAGCAGTTCCTACGCCTCCTTGCCACCTCAGCAGCCAAGAAAAAGTACCGCCGGGGGAAGCTGACGACGACGACTGCTCGGCTCACCGCACACTACCGGCAGCGCTGGTCTGTGATGCTGCAGCACTCGCAGGCGACCTCTTACCTGAACAAGTCAAACCTCTCAGACGAGGCGGCGTTCCCCCAGGCTGCTAGGGACCCTTGGGAACCTAGCCTGGGGGACCTATGGCAAGTGCTGGAGGATGAGTTGGAGGATGTGATGGCTCAGTAGGTAGGACAGGTGTTGCTTACCTGCTAGACTACCGGGTGTTAGGCTTGTTTGTCTGTTTGGCTCGGCCTGCCTAGCCTGCCTGCCATGTCTTGCCGTTCCTTGCCTAGCCCGCCCTGCCTTGCCCGGCCTGGCTACCTCCCCCCCCCTACAGATGCTCTGTTTGCCGCTTCAGCCTACCTCACACGTTTGGTCTCCTATGTGCCTAGGACTGTCTTGCTTTCGTAATATATCTCTTCATTTGCCTTTCTACAGTATTTGTTCTATTTATGAGTTATATAGAAATTGTTGGGCTGATGGAGCTCAAAGGCTTATCTATGTTGTGGCAACTGTGTTTGGTGGTGTCACCGCATATGCACGTGATGCATATGCAATAACAATAGAAGGATGGAACAGGGTGGGCTTGACATGACAATGATAGGATGATGAGTTAGTTATATGTATGTGAAACAACAAGTAGGAATGGGTGTAGGGGGAACTATAGTTACTGTTGGGAAAGGGTGTAGAAGGGGGGAAATGGGATCGTGGCGGTTGGATTTGGGAGGGAAAAGGCCTCGACAGGCGAAACCTGCCAAAGCTGGTAACACCCCACCCGAGCCGCACATGTGGAAACGTGCAGCCTTGGGTGGGGTCATAAGCTGCTCCCTCCCATCCCCTCCTTGCTTTCTAGTGTGTAATTCTCTCGAACTAGTGAATCTGGTTGTCTCACGCTCTAGCACACGACAGCACGACACTAAGAGGGAACCTACGGGGTGGGGGACGATACACTTTCATTACACACTAGAAAGCAGCGTACGGAGGATAGGCTCGAATGAGATGGATAAGTACGAACTGCGTTGGGGTAGGGCGTATAGCCGTCGGGAGGAAGAGCGAGAGCGTCGCGAACCGTCCCAAGAACGTGGGCGATCCTGGGAGCGGTCGCCGCGCCGCCCCGCTTTCCGCGCGGATCGGGTTCCGGCTGTGAGGGACGGTCGAGCGACGGATGCACGCGCGAGCGGCGAAGGGCGCGTCGATCGGGCAGATCGAGAGGCGTGGCCGCGATAGAACGTACGCGGAACGGGCGCGGAGGGCGGGAGTCACCGCGGCACCGGAACGTTCCACTCGCCGGAAGAGCGCGGACGGCGCCGCGATGAGCGAGGGCGGTGGCTGGGTTTCGCGGAACGATCCCGCGGACGAGAGCGGGATGGTGGGATCGACGCGCACGGAATGGACTCGGGGCGCAATGTGCCACGGGAACGGACGCCGGAGCGAGACGCGGAGGAGGAACCAGAGGGGCCGTACGAGGAGGCGGATGTAGAAGGGGCGGATGAGGCGCAGCCAGGGGGAACCGGCGAAGCGGAAGCCACGCCGGCGGAGGGACAAGCGGAGACGAGTGAGGCGGC